TGAATTGTCAAAAATAAATAATAATAAGAAAGTGGATGATATATTTGATTCTTTTTCTCAAATAGGGAGCAATTGACATATTAAAAAAAGAAAATTACGCGGTTAAATAAACTTATACTAGTCAATTAGTCATTATAGCTATAGTTTATTTTAAATATCATTTGCCACCAAATTTTGGTTACAATTACGTTGCTGACCTTTCTTATTTGTATAAGCGTGTATATTGTCCCTTTTCGTATATACAAATGATTCTTTCTCTGTCTTCATAATTCTTTACCTTATTTTCTCCTCAAAATCCTTAACATAAATTGATTTCAAATTTGAAAATTTCAATTTTTTACCCTCAAAAAGTTTCTACTTCTTTTTTTTTCCAAACCTTTTTTAGACGGTTTTATTTTTATTTTTTGTTTTGTATTTGTATATGACTGCAATTTCATATACTTTTTTTTTAGATTTATAACTAGATACAATTTTAATTATGGATGAAGAAACATCTGAAAAATATTTAAGTACAGATACGCTGTAAACTATACATTTACAAATATTTAAGTACATATCGTTTGTCCTTGCTCCTTTTATACCATTACAAATGAAAATAATTCATTGATACAATCAATAGTTTCACAGAAAAAATGGCTATCAATTAATTATACATACACAAACACTAATTTCACAAAAAAAAAATTAAAATTATGTAAATTATACATATACAAAATATACAAATATAAATCAGTTGTCACTACGTAAATAACTAATTTATACAAACATTAATTCCATAGAAACTACAATCATCAATCAATTATACATATCAAAAACTTATTTAAATAAAATAGAATTATACATATACAAATATACCAATATAAACCACTTTTGAAGAATATGTTTATACAATTAGAGATAAAAATAATTAATTTATACAAATCAACAATAATTTATACCTGATACAAATCAATTTATACATTTACGGAAAGAAACGGAAGTCATATTTGGTATGAAAGTCTAAAAGATACTATTCCGTGGATTAAGAGATCGTTTACCTTTTTCCAACGGATCGAAATTATCGTCATTATCTTTTATAAACTTTGAATTTCCGTCTTATTTAAAATAACACATAATTGCAAATTATACAAATACACCGCGCCCATAGCCATTTAAATTGTAACTATAGCCCGTAATGCAAACTATAGCTAAGGAGCCTAATTAAGTTTATTCTAATAGCTATATATGAAATTTCCTCTTAAAAACATCGAAAACAAATACTTTATGATAAAATCAAGGTAACCCAGTCTTAAAAGCCATCAAGTTCAATAATTTTGAATCAAATCTATATTGAAAAACTTATATGTATACATAATCGTTTACAATCTAATAAGAAAAAACAAGTTTTTGTTCAGCTTTTATGATTTCGTCTCTATATGAAAGACATCTTGCATTCTTTTGATATAAACAAGTACGAATAAAAATAAATCAAAATATAGTTGAATACCAGTGTCACAATTTTATTCGAAAACTAACATTTACGAATAATTCATCTTTATTTTGATATTATATACTATCGAAACTTTCTATAACAATATATGTTACCAAAACAAGCTCATGACTTGTTTCTTTTCTAGGCATATTTGTGCAAGTAGAGCCAAAATCAATCAACCCCATTATATTTAAAGGTAAGTCAAGTTAATATTTTGACTCTACCAAACATTTAGGTATGAAAATGGCATGTCCCTTCGTGATATTGTGGACGATAAAATTAGCTCATGAAAATATGATCTATTTAAACTGTTCAAATTTGATCAATTGAGATGGATATATATATTGATGATCAGGGGCGGATCGAGGGATTGTCAGAGTGTTCATCTGGTTTGAGGTTTCTTCAAAGTTCATTGCTACACACCTTTTTTTTTTTTGGAGGTTTACAAACATTATGTGACATAGGAGTTACTTCTCATATGATAGTCAATAATAGTATATCCTATTTAATGCAGACAAACCAATCTTTTTAGCATTGACTATATGATCTCCATTATATCGTTCAACGCAAGTAAACACACTTGTCGTACGACAATCCTCTTTTTGTGATATTACAGTCAAAACTTTCTATAACAAAACATAATTAAAGCATGAAGTAGACCTTTACAAGCAAATTGTAATGGAAATAAATGAAACAACAAATAGCACCAGAACAAAATATTTATTGCTTGGACTCTTAAAAAATGTCATCGGATGTGTGTCGGAGTCAATGGAAGTGCGGTGACATCTTTTAGGAGTCCGAGCAACATAGGTCACATATGCACGCAAAAACATCAAGACTACATTTGTTGTCATACTTTCTTAGTCCCATATGCTTTTAACCTTGTTAATGTGCTTGAAATCACAAGTCATCACCACACTTGTATCCATTCTTCTCAACACGAACCTCTCGACCAAAACATAGCAACTTAATCTTCTCCATCCGTTGCTATCTTCTCTCTTCTCTTGGACTTGTTTGATCCTCCCTTGATTTTGCCATCCACCTCTCTGTTGTTCCCACTTCATCCTTTCAACTATTTCATGTCTCAACCCCAAACTTGCTACTTCATTTCCATCTTTACCATAGCTTTTAAACCATACTACTCCTTCAACGACGTTTCTATCATCCCATGTTGCTTGATTATCACTTCCGGAAATAAGGACAACTTGTGTGTCAAGTGAAACATCGACAACTACTGTATTTTTCCCTTCATTAATTTTGTCATTTTGACAAGTGAAGAACTGCTCCCATCTCTGCTCAAGTGTCATTTCGTAGAACATCGATCTCTTCATCTGTTTTTTAAGTTCTGTTCCATCTTTGATAAACACGAACGGACAATACCAGTTCCCCACAACAACTACTTCAGAACTCTTGTAAGATGATGCAAAATTGAACTGTGGAAGTTGTTGCCTTAACTCAGCATTAAGGCCTATAGCATCATCATTTAGTACGAATTTTTTAGGATTTTCGGCGCTGAGATGCCAACCTTTTCGCCTTATAAAGTATGGTGGAAAACCATCTGGTGCAACAGACTTGGCATAAAAACTACCTCTGCCTTTGCAACATATATCATATAGACATATCTCAAACTGCTGATGTGCCTCCTCTGGATCTAATGGCTTCGGTTTAACGTCCCGTACACATCTGCAGAAACAAGAACTTTTCTTGTCTTCCTCCTTTGAACAAGTGAATGCTTGTCTGCATAACACCATATTGATTATCTTAATCAGTCTAAAAAATATTCAACATGTCACACTCGGAGGCGGAGTCAGAATTTTCAATAAGAGGGTTCATAATCTATAGAATAGATAGCTGAAGGGGGTTTGACATATACTATATATACATAGAAACTCATTTTAATCGTGTATAAATAATGTAATTTTCCGCCAAAGGGGTTCATGCAATGTAGCTCCGCCCCTGGTCACACTCCAAACTTGCAGCCTAAAGCAGCTTTTCTATATGTTGCTCAGACTCTGCAAAAAAAGTTGTCGGATCTTCCAAAACATCATTACTTTTGAAGGATCCAACAAGCATCTATAGACATTTTCAAAGAGTCCGCGCATGCAGTATATGTTATGCAGTAGTACAATTAACAGACACAACTAAAGCACAAATGAGTCAAATAATGAACAACATATAATTATTACCCTTTGTTCTTTCCCTGAGTCTTGATAGCATAATACTGATTAGAAGACAATGGCTTGTTAAGAACTGGAATGAACATTACACTGTCTCTGTTAACGCTCGTGCTCTGACCATTACTCATCTCGTATCGAATGGTTAGCTTCTTGTTCTGAGGCAGAGGCAAGTCCATGATTTCATAGTTCTTGCAGAGTCCAAAACAACAGTATGTTTCGGATTCCGAATCTTTAATCACTAAGTAACCTGAATTTGGACCATCAGGAGGTAATGAAAGTGCCTCTGGATTCTTTTTGTAGTAAGAAAGAGACCTTGTAACATACATTTTTCACCAAGAGTTTGTTAAACTTTTTTCTTGAATTTCTATCTAAGTTTTCTTTTGAAGATATATATGCATATATACTAAGACAACATGTTTATAAGTTCCTTTTTATAAATTTAACTGTCATGTCATGCTGTTTCTTAAGAAGGTTGAGAGATATTTCCTAACTGAAAAATCTATTAGAATATTAGATGTATATAATGGTAGTGGTGTTACACAACTCAAACTTATATTAATTACAAAAAAAAATTAGAAGATCTTGGAAGTTTCAATATGTTGATATGGTTCAAGCATCAAGGTATTATGATTGTTATTTGACTAGTTCATAAGGTTACAATAATGTGGATTCATGTTAATCGTGAAAAGAAAATAGATAGCCACGTAAGAAATGATACTATAATACCTAAAAACTATACCATAATATGTATACAGAATACATCATTAGGAAAAAATGGGGCTTTAGTGGCCTAATATTTGAGCCGGTCCTGTGACCAGTTGTTCTCGTTGAGTCTAGAGAAGCTTCAATTTGAAATTAAACAAAGATAATAATAATGACGTAAGCATGAGATTTTTTAATAATATCGGTAAACCAAATAGTTGTGGTGAAGATTTGACAAAAGCAAAAGAATCCGAATGAAATGAGACTGTTGAGCCCACTTTGGCCTATGGCGGGCCCCTACGGATGCGAGCTAGAGCTTCCATAGCTTATGGCTATAGCAACGTAAGGACGTCCAACTTGGAGTGTGCATAAGTAGATTCTTTTCTTATATAAAGTTGAACAAATAAATACAATTATCCTACTTGACAATTCGCGTGAAAGACAATATTTACAAATCAATGGTCCTTTCATGATATTACAATCAGAACTTTCTACACCAATATATTATATTGAATTTTTTAGGTGTAAAAATACTAGATGATAAGAATATATTCATTAAAAAATTGATTTTGTTTCAAAATAATCAGCTGGTTGAAAGGTCTTCTATATTAAATCAAATATCTTGATTATATCAACAAGTGCTAAAAAAATTAACCATCAACAGGATTCTTCTTCACCAAATTGGAATATATAAGATATATACATGAGATACAATAATATATATGTGACATACTCAATATACATAACCTACTATAATCTGTTAATTCACACTGATAGAGTTTGATACATAGCTTAAACCTTTAATAAAAAAAAATATTCACATAGTATGTTCTTAGACTCCTCAAAAATGCCATCAGATGCGTGTTAGATCCTTCAAGAGTAGCGTAATTTTGGGAGTTCAAGCAACATAGGTCGTCACACGTACACACAGAAACATCAACACCACATGTAGTATCATACTGTCTTACTCCCATATACTTTTAACCTTGTTAATGTGCTTGAAATCATAAGTCATTACCAAACTTGTATCCATTCTTCTCAACACAAACCTCTCAACCAAAACATAGCAAGTGAATCTTCTCCATCCACTACTATTTTCTCTGTTCTCTTCGACTTGTTTGATCCTCCCTTGATTTTGCCATCCACCTCTCTGTTGTTCCCACTTCATTCTTTCAACTATTTCACGTCTCAATCCCAAACTTGCTACTTCATTTCCATCTTTACCATAGCTTTTAAACCATATTACTCCTTCAACGACATTTCTATCATCCCATGTTGCTTTATTATCACTTCCGGAAATAAGGACAACTTGTGTGTCAAGTGCAACATCCACAAGTACTGAGTTCCCTTGGTTAAGTTTGTCATTTTGACAAGTGAAGAACTGTTCCCATCTCTGCTCAAGTGTCATTTCATAGAAAATTGATCTCTTCATCTGTTCTTTAAGTTCTGTTTCATCTTTGATAAATGCAAAAGGACAATACCATTTCCCCACGACTACAACTTCAGAACTTTTACAAGGTGATGTGACATTGAACTGTGGAAGTTGTTGCCTCAACTCAGGATTGAGGCCTAGAGCATCATCATTGAGTTCATAATTTTTAGGAGTTTCGGCACTCAGATGCCAACCTTTTCGCCTTAGAAAGTATGGTGGAAAACCATCTGGAGCAAGAGACTTGGCACAGAAGTTACCTTTGACATTGCAACCTGTATCATATAGACATATCTCAAACTGCTGATATGCCTCCTCTGGATCTAATGGCTTCGGTTTAACGTCTTGTATACATGTGCAGAAACAGCAGGTTTGCTTGTCTTCCTCCGTTGAACAAGTAAATGCTTGTCTACAAAAAGTCATTCAGAAATTGTAAGATCCATTACTTTGGCCAGTCCAAAAATTGTAATAAAGGCGTTTCAAAAAAAAATTCAAGAATTGAAACTTGAAGCCAAAAACAATTTAACTATGTAGTTTTATATTACACTACAGAACAATTTTCTGATGAAAATGATATCATTGAACTCTTTGTACCTTGGTTTATCAAAGATGAAATAATCCAGACAAGAATTTTGCCAGAATCAATTGTATCTTATGCAGTAGTAGATTGAGTCATGATCCATTCCAAAATATAGTAAAGGCAAATGGACTCTTTTCAGATGTTCACCCTTTTGTAACAAATAGATCCTCACCTCTCATTTAACTCACTAATTCGTCAACTTCTTAATTAAAAAATCGAATCACCTAATTAAACTATCATATCATACAAGATCAGAAGAGCAAATAAAATAACAGCATACCCTTTGCGCTTTCCATGATGCTTGATAGCATAATACTGATTGGAAGACAATGGCTTGTTAAGAACTGGAATGAACATCACTTCGTCCCTGCTAACGCTCCTGTTCTCACCAGAACCCGATTCATATCGAACAGTCAGCTTCTTATTCTGAGGGATAGGCATGTCCATGATATCATAATTTTTGCAAAGTCCAAAACAACAATATGTTTCAGATTCCTCATCTTGAATCACCAAGTAACCTGAATTTGGACCTTCAGGAGGTAATGAAAGTGCATCTGGATTCCTTTGGTAGTAAGAAAGAGGCCTTGTTACATACATTTTCAGCAAATGAATTTCATTTTCTTTTAATTTCTGTCTATATATTTTCTTTTGATATGTGCATTAAGAAAAGTCAAATTTAATGAGATTACTCAACTAAGGCAACTCTTATTGGGCATAGAACCAGCTGGCTAGCTAACATGTTGATAAGTTCCTTTTTTTTCTAGTCTTGGGATGACTTTTCAACAAGAATATTTACTGGAGCAGAACAATTTTGTATTTAAATATCCTGTCATGCTGTTACTAAGAAGGTTGAGAGGAATTTCCTAAATAAAAAATCTATTAGAATATTGTACATATTAGTGGTTTCGTAGGTATATGTAATACCTACTCAGAAACATGACAAGATATTATTATTATAATTTGACTAGAACAAAAAATTATTCTTTTCAACCTTAACTATATGATCTCAATTATATCCTTCAACACAAGCAATGTTGTGGACACTTAGAACCTGTGTGGTTTGCTGCAGAAAGTCAACCTAAGGCTAACAGAAAGCAAAAAAAGAAAACTTATTGTTGTTTTAAATATTGCAAAAATCAATGGAATCATTGGAACCAGATAAGGGCATTCGAAGTTCCCTAAGAAATGTTCTTGATCCTTTTCCTAAAACTTATGATTCCGTTAAGACCAAAGTAACAAGTATAATTAGCAACTGATTGTTATTAACCTATCTCATTCATACTGATCTAGGATAGGATGGGAGATCCACAGAAAGACCAAATGTAAGGCATTATTGGCGGAAATTAATCACCTTCACATTCGAACTGATCAAACATCAAAGCTTAAGACGGTACAAGTAATATTCACTTCAATGGCAAACATGAAAGCAATAAATACCTGCCTAAGAAAATGTCACCAGTTCCATCATCCTTCTTCTAGTTAATACTCCTTTCTCCGACTTGAGACTAATGTAGGATGGCTTACACTAGATGTACAGTTCACAAATCAATAAGTAGCCTACAATATCTATAAAGAACTGATGCAAAGCAATTTAATCGGTATAATAAGCAGTGCACTGCGTATATCACCGTACTTTGACAAAAAAGAAAGCTAAAATATAAACTTTTGTTTCTCCATAGTGATACTGCAGGTTGATTTAACATCTACAGTTGGATTATTTGTATGGGTGACAACAACTACAATGATAATGTTGAGAAAACATACTTTATCAGTTTCTTCCAAAACTTCTTCATCCCTTGAATGCAAATTAGTCTTCCCTTTCTTGATAAACTCCAAACAACAGCCTGAACAAAAAGCAAAATTGAAGATGACTTCAATATGTACAAACTTTATGAAATCACAAGTTAAAAACCATTCTAGTCAAATCGGCTACCTCCTGGAAGCCACATAATTGCTTATACTATAGTCCCACCAGGTGATAGAAACTGCAAAGATTTTACATGTTCTCAGCCAGATGAAACCATGCTCAAAGTGTTCAATCATGAAACAAATCCATGTACAAATGTCTACAGGCAGATGAAGTGAGCAAAAGAACTTAACTAGTCATTGTAACCAAACAAGCAACAAGATAGTTCTACGGGCAGATGAAGTGAGCAAAAGGACCTAACTAGTCATTGTAACCAAACAAGCAACAAGATAGTTAATTCAAGTTTCCCACTCAACCAGTGAATGATCCACTATCAGAATGCAGGACTTAAACAGCATAAGACAATGAGAGACTTCATCCAATTCAACAAGGTATCAAAGCGAAGAAGAAATCATGGTTAAGTTTCATTTCCATCCACCAACAAAAATACACTCTAATCCAATTCAGCCAAATTGTAAACATTAGCTTTAACAAGTTGAAAGGAAAAATAAAATTCTATGTAATAGAACAAAATTTCCTGAAGGAATACTACAATCTGATGGCACAAATACGCCGATAAGCAATATGATCATCTCCTTCCAGCAATCTTGAGCAGAGGAGTAACAATGCCCTGTATCTGTAGCAATGTCTGTTGTAATCGTATTTCCTCCTCCACATCTCGTTTAAGATTTCTAATGTCACCACGCAGTTCATCCGATGATTTGATATCTTCAGCTCGCATCTCAACTACTTTCTTTGTCAAGCCCATCAAAAACCTTGAAAATCTAGGCATGGTTGAATATCTCTGCAGAAACTTCAAAAGCAAACCAAGTTCTTCCGTTTCCAAGTTTGACACGCATCTCATTAACTTCTTCCGAGCAACCAATTCCTCCATAACAGCTACCACATTTTCCGGGTTCTTCCCATTCAAAGCAGCTAACAAAGCTTCCTTGTGCATAAATTTCTTCAACAACTTATCATGCTCCGTCACCTTTATCTTCTTCGGCTTCTTAATCAAGTAATCCCATTCAGAGGGCTTCTCATTTTGCCCCCGCTGAAAATATCTGTAGTAAGATGGCCTCAACACCCGCCTCCGAGGCACTTCTACCGGACCAAAGCCACCAACATCCCCAAGTTCCATGCTTTCACTTTCCTTCACCTTTCTTCTGCCTATATACAATGTCCCATTCGATGCCCCAATCACCCTTGTTGAACAATCAGGCGAGAACCCAACAGACATTAGAGGATTCGGAAACCTCATCGAATGAGTAATTTTGAACTTAGCATAGTCAAACACCTTCATATATCCATCCAAAGCAACACTCAAAATCCGATATTGCTGCGCCTCCTCACCACTCTCCTTTCCAATTTTACCAACACAAATCGAAGTCACAGTCTTGTTATGACTCTCCATTGTACATAGCAATTTCCCACCTCCAAGTATATCCCAAATCTTCACAGAATTACCACCAGCAGTAGCAACTAACCCACCAGATGGCAAGTAAATCACATCCTCAACAGGCTTTCCATGGTCGAACTCCATCACCGCACCCGAGTTCATCACCCTAACATCCCAAACTTTCACCGTATGATCATAAGACCCAGAAACAAACATATCATCACTTACAGGAGAAGCATCCCCACACCTCACATAATCCTTATGCCCCAAAAGATCGTAAATTTTAGACTCGGTAGTAATATCCCAATACTTAACAATAGCATCATCCCCACCGGAGAAAAGGTGAAGCTTATCAACCCGCGGATAACGTACAACACGAACAGGTCGGGTATGGCCACGAAGCCGACGAAGTGGGACACGGGACTTGGGGTCGAGAACTTGAACGGCACCGGAAAGGTCACCAGCAGCGATAAGACGACCATCGGATCGGAATGAAGCTGAAGTTACAGTATCACGGAAAGCAGAGGAGATGGTAGTTTTGGGTTCAAGAGTTTTACCGGAGAAAATGGAAACAGTGGCGGAATGGGCGGCGGCAAAATCGTGAGGAGATGTTGGAGAGAAGACAATGGAGTTGATTGAAGAAACAAGTGTTTGTGGGGTTTGAATTTCTTTAGGGGTTTTGAAGGATTTCCAGTACTTTGATTCAAGGGTTGGTGTAGATGAATTTGCTGAAGTGGGTTTCAATTTTGGCTTCACTGGGAAAGTTCTTGCTATTGATTGAGTTTCAGCCATTGTTGAAGCTCTGAAGAAAACTTCGGCTGAATATGATTAGGGTTTTAAGGTCTTAGGGTTTATCATTCTCAATATTAGAGGTCTTATATATGTTGCGGAAAATAGTCAAAAATACCCTTAAACTATGTAAAAAAGAATAAAAACACGTTAATTAATAGTTTGATCGTTGGTCGTGTAGGACACACGTGCATCTATAGTTTTGATCTAAAAAGCAATAGGAAGGGAACAAAAATGAGCTTATTCTCTCACGATTTGTCGTGTAGGACGTACGTGCATCTTACGCGATTCGTCATATAAAATTTGTGTCTATTTATTTATGACAATTTAAGTATCTATTGATATACGTTCAAAGTTGAAGGACGTAGTTTAAACCTTTTTACTTTTAATTTTATCCCCCTTTTTAATATTCAAATGACTTATAATAATAATAATAATATGAGTGTTTGTTATACCAAATATTTAGATTGACTTGTAATACTATGACTTTATAATATTGCATTAACTTCTCATAGTGTTGTTTAAACATAAAGAGCTCAAAAAGTTCATTAAGATGAAACAAATGAAAAGATTCTCGATAATGACATTATAATATAAGGTTTTAAACTTTTAATTAATTCTTAGACAAACTTTATAGCTTATTTTTATTATATAAAATAGAACACTATTTACCCCATTGAGGCTTTCGAATTTTGACATATTGATCTTCAAAAGTAGGATTGCCAATTAAACAAAGGAATCCATTTTGCAGTAAATTGAACAAAAGGAATGCAGCATACTAATAGATTGGAAACGTTAAAATGGACGAATTAAATATCGATTTAAACTATGTCAATCTTCGGATAAGTGTATGAGACTTGACAATTTTCTCCAACAACAGTCTTGAGTGAGAAAAAACTTGGGATGTAGCTATTCTATTTAAGTCCAAGTTACACTTTAACCTTCGTAAACTTCTTTTCTTTTGGGTTGTAAGAAACGACTTGTGTCTGACAATGCCTTTGCATTAATATTTCTCCATCTTCCAAGTTGAGATTGGTATAAATCTATCACAACGTATATTTGGTTGAATAGTATCCTTCAAAATGCGAGTTTTAGTCCAAGATTCAGTTATTCCATACTCTTTCATCCACCATATATCAACATACTCAATAGGGTCGACATTACACAAACACAGACAATTCCCCAACTCTACTAGCGTAAAGTTGTAGCATGGAGATTTCAGACCACGCGGAGCTAACATGCACTTCACCTCTTCTGTCCCACTGTTAAAGGAGTAAATGGTATCATTTTTTTCCCAATTCATCCAATGAACAACACCATTGACGTTAACCTCACTAAATGATACAGATAGAGGTTTTGGAGCCTCGCCCACATACCTCCATTTTTTATCAACTCCAAGAGTATAAACCTCCAATTCCGATACTTTTGATTGTCTAACTGCTGATCTCAATACTTTATACTGTCTAGAGGCTTCACTAAAGCAGAATGCATAAGCAGAACAAATTCTACTCTCTTGTTTAGGAAATTCAACCTCGAAATACTCACCCAAAAGAGGATTGCTAATGTAAACCGAATGGTATAACTCATACACCCAACCTTTCAACAAACAAACGAACCCATTACACGAACCAATTAATCTCATGTTGGGTGAAGGGAGATGAACTTAGGGCTCAACACAGTGGTGCTGATCTTTAGGGGGTAACGCTCATCTGGTAATTTGAGTTCAACAAGAAACTGGACATAGTTATCAATCGAAAGCAAAAGGCTAGGAAAATTAGATGATGTTCCTTCGTGATATATGCTAGGAAATAATGAATCGGAAGTTAAAATATTATACCACAGTTTACAAACCGTCTTACAACAAAAAATGGACTTGATTGGTAACCTCGAAAGAATTTCTAACATAATCTCACTTGAAAGGTCCATGATTGTGCTGACATGAGAGATTGTTTGCTTAGTGCTTGGGGGTTCCATGGCTATAAAAGGTCGACTATGTTCGTCTAGGCCTAATCCTCCGAGAAAAAGCAAAGAAAGTTTACAATGATTTTGAATCCCAACTTAATCCTTAAATATAGATCTCGAGTAATCCTAAACCTATATGAAAAAAGATTCTCCTAATCCTAAAAGGATAATATATTCCTCTTCCAAATTTATTATAACAAACTGTTTCCTAAACCAATAGGGATTATGAATTTTCGGTTCTAAAATATACAAAGAGAAAAAAAATTAAAAAAATAATCAATACCTATTTAATATCGAGTATTAATTTATCACTCAACTATTCAAATGTTATATTCATTAAAATAATATAATACGATACAATATGAAATATTATAAAAAACGTAAATATAACTGAAAGTCTGTATGACGTGTGTTTTAGCAGAAAAAAGAAGAAGAGGAATTAGGAGACGAACAAATTACAATACATCTTATTATAAGGGCTATTAATTATCATTCCTTATTCAATACTAATTAGGCCTTATTTGTTTTAATTAAAGAGTAAAACAACAATTTTTAATACCTAAAGAGACTATCTGTGATATATTTTCTAGGCTTCCAATTCATTCTTTAACGCTTTCAAGTGTCTTTCTATATTTGCAGGAACATAATTCACAGCTTTTTTGTAGTTTTTTTGTAGTGTATTATTTTTAGTGATAGGCCAACATTTTGTTCTTCAGTTCGATCTATTCAGACAAGTACGTACATAGTTAATTGAACCAAAGGAATGCGAGTTAATATCTCAAAAGAATTCATAAAACATTAAAATTTGACAGGTCTTAAACTAGATTACATAGAAAACAAACATAATATCGACGAGGAAATTAGACTAATTAAATATCTAAACTATGTCAATCTTCGGATGAATGTATGAGATTTGAGAACTTTCCCCAACGACAGTCTTGACTGAGTAAAAACTTGGGATGTACCTATTCGCCTCATATCCAAAGTACACTCTAACCTTGGTAAACTTCTCTTCTTTTGGGTTGTAAGAAACTACTTGCATGCCACCATCGCGTTGCATCAATATTTCTCCATCTTTCCAAGTTAAGATTGGTATAAATCTATCACTACGAAAATCTGGTTGAATAGTATCCTTCAAAATGCGAGTTTTAATCCAAGATTCAGTTATTCCATACTCTTCCATCCACCATATATCAATATACTTACTATCGTTACTATCACACAAACATAGACAATTCCTCAACTCTACTAGCGTCAATTTATAGGATGGAGTTATCAGACCACGCAGACCTAACAGCGACTTCACCTCTTCTGTCCAACTGTTGAACGAGTAAATTCTGTCATTTTTTTCCGGATCCATCCAATGAACAATACCATTGACGTTGGCATTACTAAATGACTTCCATAGAGGTTTCGGAGCCTTACCCACATATCTCCATTTTTCATCTACTCCAACAGTATAAACCTCCAATTCTGATACTTTTGGTTGTTCAAATGCTGATCTCAATACTTTGTACTGTCTAGATGCTTCACTAAAGCAGAATGCATAAGCACTAGAATATATTTTTTCCCGTTTATGCATTTTAACCTCGTAATACTCACCCAAAAGAGGATTGCTAATGTAAAGCGTATGGACTATGTCATACGCACCTTTCAACAAACAAACGAACCCATTACACGAACCAATTAATCTCATGTCCGATGAAGGGAGATGAAACTTAGGGTTCAACGCAATGGTTTTCTCTAGGGGTTGAGAATCTATAGCTTTGAGTTCCACAAAAAAATGGTTAGTATCATTAAGCGAAACCAAAAGGCTGGGAAAATTAGAAGATGATCTTTTGTGATACATATCAATAAATAATGGTTCGTAAGTTATAAGACTATACCATGATTTACAAACCGTCTTACAACAAAAAATGGACTTTATTGATAATCTCGAAAGAATTTCCAACATAATATCCTTCGGAAGGTTTATGATCTCAGTGACATGAGATATTCTTCTTTTTTTGCAATCTCTCTTGATAATCATTGAGCTTTCGGGGTCCATGACTATCACTTTTGCACGAGTTTCAACTAGACCTAATCTTCCAAGCAGAAACTTTTTCGAAAAGAAATAAAAGTATATATATATATATATATATATTCCAAATAATCCCAAACCTATAAGAAAAAGGTTTAATTCTCCCAATCCTAAAAGTATAATAATATTCTTTTTCTGAATCAATTAGGACAAAGGGTCAATAAATAATCCACGCCTATAGGTTTATGGTAATAATCCAATTTTATTTCTGATATTGTATTCATTAAAAACAAAGTTACTTAATTTTAATTAACAATAATATAATAAACCATGTGTTTGAGGAATTAGATTTTGATTAGGAGAATAATAAATCAGAATAAGGCTTATATATCAATACTAGTACTAATTATGTCTTATTTTTCAAAATTAATTTAATAATTTTTCCTTCGTCTTGTTTTGTTTTTCTCCTTAGCAATAACATGGAAGGTAATCGTAAGGAGGAATGTTTGGTAGATGACATGGTATTCGAGATACTAACGTGGGTTCCAGCTAAGTCTCTCTTGCGATTTAAATGTGTTTGTAAAGCTTGGAATGATTTGATACGACATGATTTGATCTTTGTCAAGTCGTTCTAGAGACCGTCCTCTAGCCACCCGTCTTTTATACCAAATGTATATAAAAACACCTCATATTCCCCAACACTACGTAAACGATTCAACAAGGTTTACTAATAACCAACCACCACTTGAACTATTCCCTTTACAGCTAGTAGGTAGTCGTAATTATTTCGGGTATGGCGACATTTTTATTTGCTCAAATCATTGCAATGGGCTTGTTTGTTTGTACAACGGTAAAGATAGTCAAGGTTTCCTGTATAACATAACGACAGGGGAAATAAAAGCATTGTCATTTTCAACGAAGATGGGATCGTCCAGAAGTGTATCTAGGATATGATCCAGCTACAGAGAGATACAAATTGCTTCGTAATCGTATTTACTACAAGAAAAGGCCATGTATAAAGATTCGAACTCTAGGAACTGACACATCATGGAGAAGAATTTGTGAAAATAGCCCTGGTAAACTTAACAATTTGTGGTCTGATCGTACGTTCGTCAATGGGGCACTTTATTGGGCTAATGCTAACGTTGATTTTATCACATATTTCAACTTAACAGAGGAGAAGTTTGGAACTCTAACACCTCCGGAAAGGAGTCGAGTTAACGCAATTCAGAGTGCATTATGCGGAAAGTTGATTGTGCAGCCACGCGACCAACCTGGAAACTGCAATTTGGTGGCATACGACGAGATCAACAAGGTTTTTGTAAAATTTGATTCGGATCCTGATTTGTTGGCGGAGGAGAAATTTGTAGTTCTTGAAGCAGAAAACATTGAAGAAAGAAGAGATAATGGAAGATATATATTGGCAACATCAAGCCTGACCTCAACATATTTGGTGTTTGCCTATCATTTTTGGCCAAGATATGTTGGCATATTTGTTGAAAACATTATTCCATTATCATTTATTATTGACCTTTAGTCTTTAGACAATTTCAGAGTTTTTCAAGTATCTGAGTAGTTTTGTTGATGTTAATGCCTTTAAATTTTATTCACTAGTTTCTGAGAACGTGTCTTGCACGTTTGTCCTTACAAATATTTTTCATTTTTTTCTCTAACAGATGCTCAAACAAAGATCAAACTAAAGCACTAATTTTATATTTTTTAAGAAAAAACATAGGTAACAATTTTCCAAAGCAATATTATCCTCAAAAAATTTCATCCATTTCGTTTTGAAAATTTCGGGTCACAAAAATTTCATGGACTATATCACATAAAAATCGATAAATTATGTGTTTACCTGCTTTGAGACTCGTTTGAACTTGAAAATGCACCCATTTTTCCCGCGTAACGAACTGGGTCCATTGCTAAGGTCTTCGCGTACGTGCATGAAAAATTTTGGCCATTTCATTTCATAATTTCAGGTCACAAAATTTCATGGACTTTAACACATGAAAATCAGCAAAATCTGTGTTTTACCTGTTTTAGGGCTCGTTTTAACTTGAAAATGCGTCAGTTTTCTCCGTGGGATGCACTGGGTCCATTGTTAAGGTCTTAACGGACGTCCATGAAATTTTTTGATCATTTCATTTCGAAAATTTTCGATCACAAAATTTTCATAGACTATATCACACGAAAATTGACAATACCTGCTTTAGGCCCGTTTAAATTCAAAAATGCATATATTTTCCCCGCGGGATGAACTGGGTCCTGAGGCTTGAGGGTTGAGCCTATGAGGCTAGCAGGTCAAATGATGCTGGGTTCAAAAGCTTCTTTTCTATATGGGACAATAAACTTAGCGGGCCAAGTCCATTTTAACAGCTCTAGGCATGAATGAGACTTTTCTCAAACAGAAATTGCATAGATAAACCAAACTTTTAATAAATAATATAACTACATCTTTTTTTTTAAAATTTGATGACATATTTAAATTTTTTTCTAATAAATAAAAGACAAAATTTGTTGTCTTAACCACAATTTTGGATGAATTTAATTAAATTTGATCAATGTAAGTAAGTTTATTGTAAGCATTTTTCATTGTTCACCAATAAACAAAATAGTTAAGTAAATCCTTTTTCGAAAATTTTAAAGTGGGAAAGAAATTTAAGTAAGTTTATTGTAAGCATTTTTCATTGTTCTCCAATAAACAAAATAGTTAAGTAAAATCTTTTTCCAAAATTCAAAGTGGCAAAGAAATTTACCCTTATCAAAATTGGAAATAAACATGTGGCAAGTAATTAATGATTTTAGGTATTATAAATAGTCACAATAAGAAACATTCTAAAGTCAAAAAAGAAGAAAACTTTTCTTTACACAAAAAAACATGGCTAAAGCTTCAACCATTCTTTTGTATTTGGCCATTTTATTGATCTTTTCATCTGGTTAGTGTCTCACTTTTAAAATTAAAAATGAGTTTTCCTATGTTTTTACTACTACTACAACAACAATGTATATAATAATATTAAACTTTTTTGTAACAATGTATTTAAATTACTAATCTCTTTGCTTTTGAATATTTTATTAATTCTGAGTTTATTTCTATTAGATTATTGTTTATATTTTTGTGCAAGGTGCTAATAATTCTTTTTTTTTTGTTGAATTATCAGATGTCATTTTGATGGGAAAAGCATGTACTTTGGCATCAGAGTGTCCAACTCGATGTAGGGTTGGAATTCCACAATGTGTTGATGGTGTGTGTATTTGTTGTGTTGGTCCAACATGTCAAGGTGATCAAGAAAACATTAATCTAGGTCAAATATTATGATCTTTCAAGATTATTAAAGCTTTTTAGAGTTTATTATATGTCAATCCAAAATATGATTATTGGATATTAATAAAGATTATTATATTTTATCAAAATAGTTGACTATTTATAAAATCGTTTCATATTGTAAAGTTTTGACTAGTATCTTTATAACTTACAATCATTATATTTTACTGTTACTGTCGATCTAGCATTTATAATTGTCGATCATTAGTATTAAAAATATGCTTTTATCAAACAAACAATTATATATTATTCGTGATGGAGCTAGAATTTTCAATACGAGACCCTTCGTAAGGGGTTGGGGGAGCAGTACCTATAGTTTCTCTTTACTCTTATGAATAATTGGGCCTTGCCCGATTTAATCTAAAAAAGAAAAGAGTTAAGGAATAGTACATACAGTCTCACCATAATTCGAGGAATATTTGGGCATTTTGGAGCCATTTTATAGGAATTAGAAGATTTTTTCATTCTTTTTTTTGTGTGTGTTTATTAGCCATAGCCATAAATATATTATGAAATGGCTTTTGGATTATTTTTTTGAAAAAAAACTTTACGAGATTCTCCTTAAGCAGTTGGGGAGCAGTAGGTATAGCTGCACCATGACTTGCGGCATTTTTAGGCATTTAAGAGTCATTTTATATGAATTAGGCAGTTTTTTTTTTAATTTTTCGTGTGTTAGCTAGTGAATAATTGATGAAATGAATTTCAGGTGATAGTTTTTAATAAACTTTACGAGCCCATCTGTAAAGAGTTGGAGAGCAAAATGTATAGTCTCACCATGATTCGAGACATTTTTTGGATATTTAGTAGCCAATTTATAGGATCTTTTTCAATTTTTCGTGTGTGTGAGCCCATAAATATTTGGTGAAATGACTTTTGAGAGATCTTTTAGAAAACTTTACAAGACCCTCCATAAGGTGTTGGGGAGTAGTACGTATAGCTTCACCATGAACCAAAGCATTTTTTGGCAGTTAGGGCCACTTTAAAGAAATTAGATGATTTTTTTTCTCAATTTTTCGTGTGTGTTAACCAATAAATATTTGATGAAATAAATATTGGGCAATTTTTTTTTATAGAACTTTATGAGACCCTCTCTAAAGAGTTTGGGGAGCAGTATGTATAGCCGGACCATCATCTGAGGAATTTTTTTTGGTATTTAGGAGCCTTTTATAGGAATTATGCAATTTTTTTAAATATTTCGCGTGTGTCAACCATGAATATTTATATAAATGACTTCTTAGAGAACTTTGAAATACTTTTTTACAAGATCCAACGTATGGATTTGGGGGAACCGTACGTATAGCCTGACCATGGTCCGTGACATTACCTACTAATATTTGGTGAAATTGATTTCAAGTGATTTTTTGGAAAAACATCACAAGAGTTTTCGCAAGGGTTGGGGAAACGTACATATAGTTTCACCATGAGGCATTTTTGGGCATATAGAGACCATTTTATAAGAAATTAGGCGATTTTTTTTTATTTTTTCTGTGTTAGTCCATAAATATTTATTTGATGAGGCTTTTTTGCGATTTTTTGAAGATATTTACGGGATCCTTTGTAAGGAGTTGGGGGAGAGGTATGCATAGTCACACCATAACTCGAGGCATTTTTGGATATTTAGAAGCGATTTTATAGAAATTAGGCGATTTTTTTTTAATTTTGTAAGTGTGTTACCCCCACGATATATCTGATGAAATAGCTTCGAGGCAATTTTTCTGCAAAAAACTTTACGTGACCCTGTGTGAGGGTTGGGAGAGTAGTACGTATAGCCTCATCATAATCCAAACATTTTTGGGCATTTAGGAGCCAATTGGAGAGTAGTACGTTAGTCCATGAATATTTGGTGAATTAACTTTCGGGTGAAATTAGGTTTATACAACTCAACAAATCCAATTTTTTTTTAGATGTACTAAAATTGAATTGGATATTTTCTTGATTTGTTATTTCGCATTTATAACTCAATTATACAAGCATATCCACGAATTATACAAACTCACTCGCGTGTCGAATTATACAAATAAGGCAACTTAAACTATCTACAACTTATAGCTATAAAGCATAATTAAATGTATTTGTGAAAACTTCCTATTTAAATTCAAACCATAAGGTTTATTCAAGCTAAAGTGAATCGCTCCATCTTGGAGAGCCCGTCATTGAGATAATAGTAAAAAATTATCTTTCAAAATAAATAAAAGAATTAACAAATCAATAATTTAATTAAATTTGGATTGAGGGTTTTTCAAATCAAAATGTAAGAAAGAGGAGGGAATAAAAAATAATTATGAAGGGTATTTTTAGATGAAAAAGTAAAAGTAGGGTAGTTTTGCTTCATTATAATAGATTAAGAGTAATTTTTTACTCGTTTCCCAAAATCAAAGGGTGAATTGGGAAACAAAAAAAATAAAAAAAAATCAGACTAACTAACACTATATAACTAACTATTCGTTCGTCTTCTTCTTCATTCCTAAAGCATTCAAAATTTGGTAATCTCTCACTTTTTCTTTTACAGTTTGAGTTCTCTTCACTTTTTTGATTCAATTTTCACATTCCTTTTCTTCTGCAATTTGCAGGTCGCATAGAAATTGAAGAAATATCAGGTCAGTTTTTTTTTTTTTGAATCTTAAATTTCATAGGAATTGGAGATGAATTGAAGTTCATATGCATTTTTGCTGCAATTTAGAATGTAAGAACTTGAACAGGAGGAAGAATTAGTTGTTTCTTTGCTTTTTCGAATTTTAAATTTCATAGAAATTGGTGATGAATTGGAGTTCAAATGCGTTTGTGTTGTAACGTAGAGTTGAAAAACTTGAATAGGAGGAAGAATGAGCTGTTTCTTTGCATTTTTATATCTAAAATTTCACTGAAATTGGGGATAAAATGAAGTTCAAATGCATGTGTGTTGTAATGTAGATTTAAGTACTTGAACAGGAGGAAAAATGAGCTGTTTACTTGCATTTTCGAATCTTAAATTTCATATAAATTGGAGATAAGATGAAGTTCAGTTGCGTTTGTGTTGTAAATTGCAGTTAAAGAACTTTAACAGGAGGAAGAATGAACTGTTTCTTTGCATTTTCGAATCTAAAATTTCTTAGAAATTGTAGATAAATGAAGTTCAAATGATTTGTATTGTAAATTAGTGTTAAAGATCTTGAACAGGAGGATGAATATATGAAGAATTAGAGTTAAAAGATCTTGAACAGGAGGATGAATGAGCTGTTTCTTTGCATTTTAGTATCTTAAATTTCCACTGAAATTAGAGATAAATTGATGCATTTGTGTTGTAAATTAGAGTTAAAGAACTTGAATAGGAGGATGAGTGAGTTGTTTCTTTGCATTTTCAAATCTAAAATGTCATAGAAATCGGATTAATCTGCATCCAACCTATTTAGTTTGTGGCTCTTCATTTTACAGTAATCACAGAACAAGTTATAGTTCTTCTTGAACGGTTTATTACTACAAGTTCTTAAATACATCACATCATCATAGGCCCCCTTGCATTATGGCTGGATTATGCCCCCCAGGGAAACAGAACAATGTAGTTCACTGGTCAATTTTGCCGCAGACAGTGAGTTAAAACTTGAACTGAGGAAAGTGAAAAACATTAGTAATAGTATGCCCCTTAGTTAGAATCTTCAATTTCACTATCCTTGCACCTTTGTTCATTTTGGGAACTAACATTAGAATCTTCAACTTGTACATTAACAATTTTCCAGAGATGAAAAACATTTCCTCCTCAAGAAGAATTCAAAGAGCTTATGGTGAGATTATTCAATTGCTAGACGAAGTTGAGTTGGTATCACTAGAGTTCTATAAATGTGTCAACTTCGAGGACCCTATTGAATTTATGTATTCCATTTTGGATAATTACTGCTGCATTAACCGCGAAACGTTAAGGTAAAATCTTATAGCTAAAATCAAATGATTTTTTTTCTGTTTATTTGTAGAGAACAACATGACATATTGAAACCAGCATTGGTGAGAGGAGACATATCCTTTGTAATTGGTGACACTCTCTGGCAAAGTTTTAGCCAATACATAGTAGGGAATGAACCAGGTGATGAGGTGCATGCATTTGCTTGGAACAAAATGTGAGTTAACCTTTTTTCTGTTTATTTTGTTTTTATACGAAATCTAATTCAATTTGTTTTTTTGCAGTACATATTATTTTTTTCCGAAAAGATGATCATTTGTTTTCAAACTAGGGTCGACAAATCAAAATTCATATAGATGGTGATTTTTCTGCCAATTTTTATGGTAAGTGTGTATCTAAGTACACAATTAAATCATTCCTAATTGTAATCTTTTATGTGGCACGTATCCAATTGATTCTTTAACGCTTTCAAGTTCCTTTTTATATTTGCAGGAACATCTCGTGCTTTAGCGCATCTAGTTCTTTTTGTTTCGATTATTTTTACTGATTTGTTTATTATTTCCTTCTATTCAGACAAGTGCAAATTGAATTGAACAAAAGGAATGCTTTGCTTATAGCTACATCTTTCCTTCAATTGTCTATATCTCCGGAATATTCTAGATTGTTCTTGACTTATCTTATGTAAATAATTAAGTCGGTGATGAATTCTTAACATTAACATCCAAGAAATGTAGTTAACATTTATGTTTCTCAGATTCTACCAAAAATGTTGAATCACTCTTGTTGGATCCTCCAAAAAAAAATACTATATTTGGAGGAATCGACACACACTATCATCATTTTTGAAAGTCTATTTGTTTCATGACCTCAAACAGTCTAAGTTAGGCCATAGGCTCATTTTCTGTTCTCCGCGAACACGAGGAGATATAGATAGAGAGAGATCGAGAACATACGACTGAACTATCTGAGTTGCAAATGCTTATGTATGTTTTGATATATATAAAAGTCAAAAATCGCTCGATAACACCTGAAGTACTTGATAACCTCTGTCCTCAAAAAAAAAGTTTAAAACAGTAAGTTTATCATAGTGGAGTTTCCTTTTCAAGTGTTTTTGCTTCTTATAGTACTTCCTTTTATAATGAACCACTATCACCAGCACTCTCCACTTCTATTTGTCTCAATGCTTGTGCTAGTATGTTGAAAACAGGTCTGATCATGGGGCCTGTCTTTTGCTGAGCTCAATTTACTTAGACCACTCGCTGCATATACTGTTCTCCGCGATGTTGAAAGTTCAAGATAAATAAAAGTAAATGTTCGTCGTGCTGCTTTTGTTTTCTCCACTCCCTTCTCCACACTCAATTATTTCATGTTTCTTTTCCTGTTAAGGATTTCGCTGATCACATCATTTGTTTGTTCTAATGATTTTGATATATCATGGAGCTACTGTTGATTTCATATTCTAGTGAATCTTATCGAACGTTTACTTTTTTCTTTCTTTTTTTACCCCTCCCTGGATCCTCCTGACTCGAACTCGGGATGCTTACCATCCGAGTAACTCCCTCTTGTCTTATTCGAACATAGCTATAGAATTACGCGCGAAGGATTAAGCTATGCATAAAAACATATTGTCTTAACATTTAGATATGAAATTAAAGACTCATTTGGCATTCATGTAAAAAAAACAAACAAACATGAAGAAAAGTAAAGAGACAAAACACCTCTTGCACTCTCTTTCTTTTTAGTGAAGCAAATTTGTTGAATGAGTGATGGATAGGTTCGACGATTCAGCCTTGAGATGAGCAGTGGTGCAAGGAACATCTTCGAGTTCACATAAATCAGGGAAAGGACTATTGAACTGGAGATCAGTAATCATCTGACGAAGGTCCGAAGTTTCTTCCTTTAACTGTGCATTTTCTTGAAGGACTTTGTCATGACATTCCGATACATGATTAAGTTTATCAATCAAATTATGATTCTCCGTCCTAAGACGAACAACTTGTGACCATAACTCATCAAGTTGTCTTTGTTTCCTCATCCTTGATCTTCTTGCTGATTCTCGATTAGATATCATCCTCCTCTTCTTTCTCTCGTCGATGATCTTAAGTTGTTGCTCATCCGTTTCATCAGAGGTAGAGTTACCACTGATGCAAGACGGTATCAGATTATTGAAGTCGTTCACAGGATAGCTTGGTAGGATGTTAGTTAAGTATCTACTGAAGTGGAGTGATGGTAAATTGTTTTGCATAAAGTTGAAGTCAAGAGGCAGAGGTGAAGGATTTTGAGAAGCAAAATAGTGTGTTGCTGCAGCTTCTGATGGAATCATAGTTAAGTAATTTGTATGTTTTGTTTGAAGAAACTTCAGTTTTTGTAGTTAAAGTTGAGATTGTAGGAGAAGATTGGTTGAGTAATGAGGGGTTTTTATAGGAGGAGAGTGGGCCAAGATTCAGGGGAAGCTTACATAAGCAGAAAAACAGAACATCAATGTAGGAAGCACATCGAAATGAAGGCGTTAGACGCGTGGTGAGTGGTGTGTGTTACTACTAGTATGTTGCTCCGATTCTCCAAAAATGTCTCTAGTTGTACGCTGTGGTGAGTGTCATGTGTTACTACTATTATGTTGCTTGGATTATCCAAAAGTGTCTCTGGTTGTACGTTCTGTGAGTTGCTTGTGTTACTATACTAAGTTGCTCGGATTCTCCAAAAATGTCTCTGGTTGTACGCAGTGGTGAGTGGCATGTGTTACTATTATTATGTTGCTTGGATTCTCCAAAAATGTCTCTGGTCGTACGTTGGATCCTCTAGAAGTATGTATTTTTGAAGGATCTAATATGAGCGATGAGTGAGGCCCTTTATGTAGAGGGTCGATATAGTCTTTTTACTTACACGATCAACTCTATATACTTGTATACTAGTTATTTCGTTTGCTTTTAGACTACTACCTACTCGAACTATTACTAGCTATTAACGCGGTTAAACATAACCAAAGGAATGGGAGGAAAGACATGTTTATTTCGCTATATTTTTGGAGGATCCGAGGAACATATAAGCAATAACTTTGATTGGTTCCATGATGCATCCATAAATGATGTATATGCATGTCATGAAATATCTAACATGATATAATTATTCAGACTCTTTAAAAATATTATTACATCTGTGTCAAATTTTCATAAAATACATTTTTTTTAAGGATTTGATATACAATAATATCAAATAATATTTTTAAAAAGTTCGAACAACATAAGTTCGAAAGTCAATTTTATAAGAAGAGACTATCCAATTTGAGAACAATTATCTTTTGATGGATGACGAAATCTAGGTCAATTTGTAAAGTTGGAAATTATTTTAAAACATGTTAATGATGATTTGTTTATTTTTTATTTTTTTTAAAAAATAATAATGATGAGTCGAAATCCACTTAAATTGAGGCTAAAGGGACCCATAAAGAAGAATTGTAATTGTCCATATTGTTTTACTTTAACATCTTACTACCTAAATGCTTGCGTATTACCTTTTTAATCAACTAAGCCATTAGCTAAATATATTGTCACAATACAACAAAACTTTATTGTTCATAAGCAAAAAAAAAATAGGAGACCTGATATCTGTGTTGGTCGAAGGTAGCAAGAATTTTGTTAATTAACTGAGTATGGTGCATAAGTTGACTTATATTTTATTGTAGAAAAAAATTTACGGTTAATTAACTCAGACACTATATATATTTTACTAGGACTCTTATTTGTTGTGTTAGTGAAATATTTTTAGTGGAAGGTACTCTAAAGTCTTAGAGCACCATAAACCTTTGTGTTTTTTTTTATATATATAATTGAGATATTTTGAGGGTTAGTTAATTCATAATTTAGTTAACTCATAATAAGAAACTTAGGGGATATATAATACATATTATATATCTCTTTAATCTTCTTCATTTAAATATCAATTTTTTGTTTACTCAGAGTTCATATTAATAATTTGTACTAAATCCATATTTCATGAGTTGCGCTCTTATCACTGAATCAAAATCCAAAAGATATTTTTAAACCTTTACTATTTGTCCCCACTCTTGGTGGTTCATTTTCCTTTTATATTTTTCTTCTATTCTTTATACTAATAATATGATTAGATGCCTCCCAACTAATTACACACATATAATTAGTTTAGTGCAAGTTAAGAGTCATTTGCCTCATATTGAGATGATGAAATCCATGAATAGAAAATTATTTTTTAGTGTGACCCATAAAATAAATTAAAATGATTATAAGTAAGAGAATATTCTTATTGTAGCCATATATGCATGTCTTAGGAAAGTAATGTTCTTGTGTTTGAATACACTACATAATTAAATCTATTTAATTATTATCACCACAACCATTACCAATAATAATTATTAAGTTTCGTATAATTTCATACGTGAGATCTGAAAAGAGTAAAGTATACGTAATACGCTAACATTATTTTTATCTCGTAAAAATGAAATAGTTATTTCTGAAAGAACCTCGATCAATATGATTCCTAACTATGATTACCAATAGCTTTATTTGTCTTATATTTATTCCTTTTTTTAAAAAAAATTTCCATATGGACTATGTATGTTAATGTCAGCCTATCAAAAAATATCTCATAATCAACCAGTTTCTTGTCTGAAATGGGAGAATTGTTCCCTTATCATTTTAGTCATATGTTGAATTATTATTATTGAAGTACTCTAATTGTATGGTCAGGGACGAAGCTATAATATTAGGTATAAATTTGTATGAATTTAAATTTTTTTTATTCAGACTCTGTATTTATTTTTAAAAAATTATTAAACATATAAAAATATCTAATTATAAATCAAATAACAAAAAATGAACAAACATAATATATTTTCTATAACAATTTTAAAATTTATGTTTTTTAAATTCTGACTTCACCTCTGTTATTTTTTCAGACATCACCATGTTGGCAATGTAACTAGAAGAATACATGAACTTGGAAAGGCCACTTGAGAAAGAATGTTATATCATCATTTTTTTTTTCATTAAAACCAATTCATATTTTTCTTATTTAAATATAGCGAAAGTTCGTTTTCAATCACTATAAGTGTAGTGTCACACACTTGAATATTGCATATTCATTTTTACTTGGTTGTCCTAATTCATGACAATTCCTCTTGGAGTGTTGCCAAACCATACATTTGCACTCAATTTCTTTCTCCCTCCTTCCAACATGGATAATTGTCGAAATCATAATATATCGATATACGATGTAAATTCAGATGATTAATATGTTGGCATAAAAACAAATTTAATCATGAATTTATGAGTTTAACATATATAATTTAGTGTCATATATGTTAAGAAAATAGATTTTTGTATTGATTCGACTTTGAAAGCTAGATTTTGAGTCTTACGATAAAGAATTTTTAATTATATAAAGAGATAATAGTATCTCAACTAATGCGTGAACACTCAAGCATTCCTCGACTTTTAAAAACTAGACATTTGGAGCACACAAAGTATAACTTGTCGCCCAGTGTAATCAAGAGTAAAGATAGTTTTAGCTCTGATATCATATTAAGAAAACAAACATTATACCTAACTTGATCTATAATTGAGGAAGATTATCAAGACCA